GTAAAACAGTATATCAGACTTGTTACGTGAGAAGACGATAAAACTGACACACTTTATGACGTCTGACGTCATAATGGAATTTAAATAGCCGCAGTGGTCACACGTCATGCTGGTCATCTCAAGTTCTTGTTCGTGCGCGCGCTTATAGCACGAAAAAGAAGAGAGCGCGGCATACGTATCGCCCGAACGTGCGGAATTAAAGGATCGTTTCGCTGCGGTATTTCGCCTGCTTCCGTCGGTGCACCGCGTACCGGTGCACGGCGCTACAAGGCGCGTTACGAACAAACGAATGACCCAACTCTCGAGGAAACAAAGAGTTTGTACGTGCGCTAAATACAACGGCGAGTCGCGTTGCCGCACACCGCCACGGGCGTTTAAAGTGCCTTTCGCTCTTTCTCCCTCGCCCGGAGTCGCGCCGCGCGCCGCCGCGCTTGACAATTTTATCTCGCCGAGGGAGTCCCTCGCGCGTGTCCTCTCCTCTACGAGTCTCGAGGGCGGAGAAGAGCGACTGCAATGGCTCGTGAAGAAATATTCTCTCTCGCGCGCAGCTCGCCCGGGCTCCCCTTCTTAATTAAAACACCGTCAGCCGGTCCAGCGCCCGCGGGCGAAATATGCCTCTAATTCCGATGCGACGTTACAAAGTCGACGGCGTATTTCCGAGAGTCGCGTCGAGTCGAGTGACGGCGGACAACGAACGAACGTCAGTGCGACTTTCGCGCGATTCCGCAACGGCGGCGACGGCGGTCCGGAATTACTCGCGTCGAAAGTATAAGGGGAGTGACTCGGGGATAGTATAATACCTATCTTCCGTGACAAATGTATCTTTCTTAAATGCCTTGCCTCTTTTAAACTGCCGTAATTATTACTTTATGAAAATTCCTCTGATTAAGTCATCCGTTATCTTATTATTCTTTTATTACAATACGCACGAGTATACACCTGGGAAATTTAATATCTGTACATAAAAATGAGGTCATTACTCAAAAGCTGTAAAGAAAAATTAATTCTATTTTTTTTTCCCGGTGTAATTAAAATTAAATAACCGAAATTAATGTATATAATTTATTAACAATGGATTATATTTGTTACATCCATTTTATCAATATATAATACTGCAATAAAATGTAGATATTTTTGTATTTTTTCATTATATAGGATTTAATTTTAAAATAACAACGTTGATCACAGAAAAATCATTGCTTTTTATGTCTTGGTTTATCAAAACTTTTTTCAAAGAATCAACGTATAAAAATTTGTAACAGCCGAGAGGGTTAGAGTCATCCGGTCTCAACGGTTAAAAGCGCTCAAATTTTAGCTGATGAAAAGTTTTTACGAGACGTGGGCAGTTGTATGCGAAGCAGAAGAGCGCCTTCGCGCACTTGGTACGAATTGCTGGCAATATCTCGAGCAGGTTATAGCGCTCCTTTTTTCTCGATGTCACCACGAGGGAGGACGTACCTTTCCACGACAAAGTAGTAAAGAAGGTGCTGCATGAATGACTCGAGCGCGCAATCAAATCTTTTTCTTCGCGCTATGTCCGAAAGTTTATGCGCGCTAAATATTTTAAAAAGAAGAAAAAACAGCATTAAACAAACGTATTACCGTAGAAGTTTTATAGACGAAAGCAATTTCTTACGAAGACGAACGTTACGATTTTACAGCTTTTAAAAATAAATAATGAACAAAATTGCAGCTCTAATAACTTGTTATAAACAGTTTTATAATTTCACAAAATAACGATGCAGATTTATTTTAACACGCTATAATTATATATAAAATAATAATGTAGATATTATTTTATGTTATTGCAGATAAAATAAATCTTATAAAATTTTATTTAACACACGACATATTTATCGTATGTACAAAGCAAATATAATATCAGAGAAACGATTGTAACAGTTACGCGCGGTTATCTTGCGGAGTACCTAGAAAATACTTTTATAGCGGAAGCTGAAGAAACTGAAGAACCATTGTTATAGAAACTGCAGTTCTCCGCGAACAAAATAAACCATAATAGACACCGTACAATCTCATAAATCTTTAGTGCGAGCGATGTACTTCTGTTTCTCACAGCGGTAACTTATTTTGAAAAATGTTACGAAAGCTCTGATCTCGTAAAGCTCGGACATCGCAGTACGCAGGTATATTAAGCTACCTAAGTCAAATTATTAGAACACAAAAAATTTTATATGGAATTAATTTGCTCATTTTTGCTTTTAAAAGTAATTTTTTTGCTCCAGCTATTAAAAAGTTACGAAGGGCTGGATAGCTTAAGATTAAGCTATCCAGCCATTGTAAGAAAAACATATACGTATAAGTTAAAGCAAAAAATTAATAATACCAAAATTATTTGCTACTTTTTGCTATTTTTTGCTTGCAAAAGTAATTTTTTTGCTCCAGCTTTTAAGAAGCAAGAGTAAAGCGCATTATAGAAGTTGCTCGCACTATTATAGCTTATAGTATCAGAATGTTCCGTGAATTATTTGTACTCAAGATATCCAGGTCCCAAATTTTTTTCACGAGTTTAAAAAATATATATTTTCCTTATTTTCTTTTTGTTTTTACTTATGTATATGTTTTTTTTTTTACAATTGCTAGATAGCTTAATTTTAAGCTATCTAGCCCTTCGCAACTTTTTAATAGCTGGAGCAAAAAAATTACTTTTAAAAGCAAAAATTAGCAAATTAATGCCATATAAATTTTTTCGTGTTCTAATAATTTGGCGTAAGATAGCTTAATATACCTGCAGTACGCCGGCCGACATCTGGGTGTTACGAGTACCACCGTGTTCGGAAGAAAGTGACCGTATCCTAATCGAGGATACACCTCGTTCGTGAAGAATCGTTCTTGAAGAAACGGGGTCGTGTGTTAAAGCATCGTCAGCACCGGTCGGCTAAAAAGTTCGGGACAAAACGGCAGAGACGTGCATCGCGTTTCGCCAGCTTCATTTTCTTGCCAGTAGATCCGGAAAATCGACGTTAGACGCCCTTTCAGCCGCACGCCTTGAAACCGTGCCTTCTTCATCGAAGAATATACGTATACGGGAACATCAAGGGAACACCGAGCGAACGCGTTGTAAAATAACAACCAATTGTATATACCCGATGCGATCGCAGGTAACAAGGTGCCACACGGTTACGCCGTGCCGTCCGTAACAACTCGCGGTTGTTTCCCACGAAAAGATCATTATATGTCTGTGCGAAACGAGAAGAGTCTCCGCACAAAACACCGAACCCGTCTCGCGCAGTCTCTTCTTTCACCTTCGCCCGCTCGTTATTACTTCCTCTGGCTGGATTTCAAAAAATCGTAAAAGATCACACGTCCCATGCTCAGCGTCCGCGCGAGCTCGTATTTCCGTACCGCAGGTAAAAATAATAAAACCAGCAGCGAGCGGGTTTCAAAATAGTCGCACACGATATCATTCATATTTTTAGAAATGTTGTTTTGAAAATATTATTTGAAATTGTTGCGCGCGATCTGGGATCACATTACAGTCACTATACCAAGTTTATTTTAAGTTAGGTATATCTGTTTATCTTAAGAAAACAAACGATTCCCTTAAATTATTCTAAAGAATATAAGAAATACACCTTAAAAATTATTATCTTTTTATTCCAAATTACCGTTCGTCCTACACGCGTTTGTATAATATTAAACATAAGAAACTGATATAAAAATACTTAAAAGGATTTAATTCGCTACATCTTCGAAAAATTGAATAGGAAAACGATCCAATAGTTGAAAAAATATCGTTTGAAAAAAGACAAAAAAGTTTTTGTAAACAACAATGCTCACGTCTCATGTAAAAAATAGCTTCATATGATGAAACAAAGCGAATAGTCTGGTACAATGGTACGTTCATTATAATCGAACACGCTCATATACGAATGCATATGGACATTGCATATGCAATTGTTTATTAATAACAGTAATAAGTTTATTTACGTCTTGCATTTGATTCATGTGTCTCTCATTAATTTAATATTTATTAAGAAAATGATAAAGTCACTTATAAAAATCAAGTGAACATACAGTCGAGGTCAATCGTGCGTGCGGTACTTTAAACGAACGCTCTTTTTACAAAGACGCAAAACAGCGAGCAACCTGCAATCTTCCCATCGAGAGCTTTCGCTCGCTCAATTAATCGCACACTTTTCTTCGAGTAATCCTGTCCCTTTCCAAGATCGCTCGCAACCCACGTGGAAAAACTTCGCGTCCTGGAAATTACGCGGCAAGGCCAAGTTTTCAGGTCAAACGTGGCCGTGTTTTTTGTTCGTTTTAATCCGAACTTTACGATAAAGAGATTGCATCGAACGACCCGTTATATGTCACCGCTACGGCCGAGAATGGCCTTTACTGCAGACGATTAAGGGGGTGACTTCTTCACTCGCCCTTTTCGTGAGTGCACATGTGCACACGAAAATTGAATTAAATGTCGATAGAAAGCTCGTATCGCGCTGACTATCAGTACGGAATTTTACCGGTAAACATATAATTAAAATCTTTTAGTAAATACATCGTTGAACAGCTCGTTTAGTGTTACCTAATTAAGATAATATGAATTATATCGCGTTCTCCTGAGCATCTTAAGTTTACGCAATTTTGTGCAAAAAAATAAAATAGATTTACTTAACAAATAGGAGTATGTCCTACTTCAAAGTCCTACTTCAAACTAAAACTAAAGCTAGAATTTCCAAATGGTGGTATTGACGTCATAACCCGTTGAGATATCGAGGAATTTTACAAGAAGAAGCGTAAATACGACAACATTCAGACTGCATAGAAAAATATACGAGAAAATAGATTGGTTTGACAAGCATACGTGGTCGTCGACCCTTTTGTTTCGAGATCGATATGTCGCTTCGCAGCGTGTGTGCATAACACGCCCTACGTCAAACAAGTTAGTCTCCTTAATTTTATCAACTGAATTGACATTCCCGATCCAATGTCTGTGTTAGAGCCTGATGCACGTCGCGATAGGATCGTATGATATTAAGATGAAACGCTTGTCGCATTATCCGTCTATTTGGTTATTCGTGCTCGTAACGCTTCATAGTCAGCATGCTTATACTGGTTATCAAGGTATACATATGTATTATACATACATTTTCTATATAATCTCGATCAATTTTTTCTGCACTTGTTAAATTATGATTATTTTTAATTTACAAAAATCTCGACTGAAATCAATTCAGCTTTGTCATTAATACTCAACATCAAAATTAAAGTGCCAGAGTTTAGTATCGAGATTTAAAAAAAAACGCTGCACTCAATTGCTTCGTTCAAATAAATTTTTATTCCTTTTTTCTCTTTTTCAAAACAGCAATATTTACATACGGGAATATCTACGTGGAAAGGAACTGTAGAAATAATTTATAGAGAAAAATATGTACATCTATCGAGATATGAATATCAAAAATGCGAAAAATATAAAACATGATATAACGCACACGAATATAACATAAACCATGAGGGACCTGTTTGTATAATGTTCTATAAGCTGAGAAATATATAGTTGGCAGTTTCCATAATTTCTTACGGGAAAAAAAATTTCCACGTCGATCCCTTTCGGAGCTTTTCCGCACCCTATCAGGCTGTCCTTATTCGAGAAAGTCATTGCCATCTATCAGAGCAGAGCTTTCCTCTTGTCGAGCACAGCGCGCACGCGAGAGCTATTTTTCGCGGTTTCGCGAGCAGCAGAGAGAAGAGTAGTAGTAGGTCGCGGTACGAGAAGATGACCCATTGTACATCACATCTCTATGCCACCCCCCCTCCTTGTCTGCATTGCAGTCGTAGCCGCGGATGCCGAAAACGAAAGCAAGCTTTCTTTTCGTTATACGAGCTCGATTTAAGAGGATCCTTCCAGTTGCCGTGGCATGATGACATGGCATCTTTTAACTTATCGCTCATTTCACTTGTCCAAGTAATAACGCTTCTCTCGCGGAATCTTGGAAAAATATTTGTAAAACGAGAGAAAATGTTAAAAAAAATATTTTTATCGTAAAATACAATATTAAATATTCTCGTAGCCTTAGAAATTTAAAAAAAATCTTCACTTTCAAACGCATTTTATCACAAATTAATTAAACAATTATTAATTAAATGTTCAATAGCCTGAAATGGGGCGAGTAATTTTTTTTTTAAGAGAAAATGCTGTGTGTGCGAGTGACATTTTTCTATGATATAGCACTGCCAAGCGGGAAAACTGCTGCGCTTATACCACGAAATGATGATCCATTGTACGTGCTTGCCGTGGCTTCATTCCTTTCTTTCTCCCTCTGCCTCTCTCTTTATCTTTCTCCCTCTATCTTTTCTGTCTCTTACCGTGTTCTCCCGTGGCGTACAATGACGAAATTGATACCTGATATCGAGAGACCTTACTTTCTGTAATATTTTCACCTACACGAGAAAGCTTCTTGTATTTTCGCAACAGAGCGATGTCCGGAAAGGCGGAAACGGAAATATTCCCTTGGTGAAAATATTCGCGTCTCTCAATAATATCGGCGTCCATTCGATTTCATTCGGTTTCTCCCGTGTCGGTTTCGCCCGTGTAACTTCATATGTAGATCGACCTTTTTTTTTGTAAAATTTTGTTCAAATTCGAAAAATAAAATCGATTCTTTGTGCTTTCGTCGCAATTTGCGAATTTAATTCACAGATCTATTAATGTAGATCTATCAGTCGCTACTATAGTGTTGATGCATTAACTGCAGCGCGTATAGGGAGGCTAAAATTTGAATAGATGTTCCGTGATGCAGCGACATTAATGCCATTATGCAATGTTGAAGGTTAAATAATGGGATGTGGTCAATGACGAGATATCATCGGTGACGTACATTCGAGCATACATAATTATGATTTAGAAAGGTTCCTCTGGTTTATTAAATTTCCACGCAAATTTCTCGTGGAAATGGAAATGTGTGTAACATCATAATAAACTAAAACGCATATAATGCATTGATGAGTGAAACGGACACTCGGAATTTCGAGCATAATATTCAAATAATGCATTGTTGCGATAAATTTGCCAATAACAGGTAGAGAGATATATTATATATGTGAAACTTAATAAAATTGTACTAAAAGCAAATATTAAATATTGTGGTAGCGGTGAAACAAACGTCGAGTTTACTTTTAATTAGTTTAACAATACTTATAAACAATAGTAATTATACATAAATTTATTATTGCATTCTAGTTTTTAGAATCGATTTACCATAAACAAAAATTTCAATTATTAATTATGATATTGCTAAAAATTTAATTCAAATTATACAATTATGTCTGTAATTACAAAAGTTGTGTATAAAAATATCAATATCGTCTATATTGAAAAAAAATTGCATTTCGATTTTTTTCTTAAGGCCGTTATACGCGCGCTGTTGATTTACCGGATGGACACGAAGTAGTAATACCGCGAAAGGTCAGATCAGACGGGAGTTTTATATCTCATCGAATACCTCATCACTTCGAGCGCTCCTTCGATCGAAATCGGACGACAGGCGACGATGCCGTTCACTATCGCCTGCGTATTGATCACGAGGAGCACCACGTCGAGCTCTATCCAAACCATCGACTCCTTGGACCAGGTGCAATAATCGAGAAACGTCGGGGATCGCAGGATTTTTTGAACAACATGCAATTGAAACGATTGCGAGACATGCAATGCCACTATCGAGCCCGTGTGCGCAACCAATCGGAAGACAGCGCTCTATCTACCTGTTACGGACTTGTTAGTTGAATGTTTGTTCATTCGATTGATCGCGTACAATTACTGTTACGTAATCGTGTACGCTGATTTAATTGGTTAAATTTGTTCCAGCATTTCTAGCATTACAACTTTTGGTATATTTAGAGATGCGGGATGAAAGTGATAAAATTTAAACAAAATTCGATAGAACTCGTTAGTTTCTTTCCGATCGAAGTACATCAATCGTAAATTTTAAGGACTCCGCAAATCCAAGATTTCATTATTTTAATCTTCAGGTTGGATACATTAAAACGAAGCACGCGTGGTACATGATCGAACCAGTTGCTGGACATGACTTTACCAAAGAAATGGAGCAACCGCATATCGTGTATAAAAGGAGTCCAGATGAGTATCAAACCGCTGCCGTGCGGGATCTCTGCAACGTCATCGGTGAAACGTCCAGGATCATTGCCAAGCGTGCTTTGAATCCGCAGAAGAGAGTGCCCGCAAGATCAATCGAGAGTAGGTCGTACACGCTAGAACTGCTGGTCGTGTTGGACAAGTCTCTATTGGACTATCACAGAGAGTTCGATGTCGAAAATTACATACTAACACTCTTCAATATGGCGAGTTAAAAGTCTCTCAAAATCTTTGCATATTTGCTTCTGAATTCTTCAGATATCCTCTCTTTCTCAGGCTGCCGGATTGTTTCACGACGTCAGTCTAGGTTTACATATGCAACTGACCATAGTGAGAATTATAAGATTAGAGGTGGAGGAAGATGAGGTAAAGTACGGGACAGAAACGTCTCTCAAAATAAAATGTTGTTATTTTATCGAAGGTACGCGATGGATCTCTTCCACTTCTGTATTAATATCATATCTCTTCTTTGCGAATGGAAAATATTCGGATTTATAATTTATAATTCAGACGATATCTTTTTTCAAGCGTTTTGAATTCGTGCCAACCTGATATTTTTTTTTCGAATACAATGCAGATGAATCTGTCGATAAATCGAGACGCGGATGCGACGCTAAGGCGCTTTCAAAAGTGGCAGTACACCATGAATCCCGGCGGTGATTCCCACCCAAATCACCACGATTGCGCGATTCTCATTAGCAAGTACGCGACGCAGGCAATTCTGTCGGAAATTCAATTTAATCCCGAGATTGCAGGTACTCGCCCTTTTGACGATAACTTATCAGATTAGATATCTGTGTCTCGACAAACCTCTGTGGCTTCACCGGTACATCCACGATTGCCGGTACGTGCGATCCTTTGAGAGGCGCAGCCATTGTGAGAGATGCTGGTTTGTCAACCGGTTATCATATAGCTCATCAGATAGGCCACACGTAAGCCCGTAATTAATTTTATCCCGCTCCGACCTAATTAGACGCGGGAAAAATTTCGTGTAATTACGCGCCGCAAAAATGGAATAAACGCAGGCTATATTCCAGGACATGTAGAACATCAATCTCATCAATCTTGTACCAAGTGATCGCGCCGAGCAACAAAATTAACTTCATAATATTAACGTAACACTCTGTATGCACGATATATTTCGCATACTCTTATTTCGGAGAGACTGGAGAAATATTTCTAGAACGAATATTTCTCTCATCCCGATAGCCGCTCCTCCACGGTTGCTCGCGCAAATCGACTGGGGCCCCTTCATGCCGCTGGCGGGGAAAAAAACCTCGAAATAAATTCCTAAAGACCGTTTCTTTGCCCGAGAGTGGAAATAATGGTATACCGTGGCGTCGTCGTAAATAAGTCACGGCCGAGAGCGTTTGTTTAATGTATGAAGCGGGCTCCTTGTTGTCGTGTACCCCGAGATACCTTTTAAGAGCGAGTCCGGCGGGCGACGCGACGCGCGCGCGTGCCCCAATAAATATTCCACTCCGAAAAGCCGATTTTCTTTTTCTCATTACGGCCAGCCTGGGTATGTCCCACGACGTGCAGCGGGAGAACGGCTGTCCCGGTATAGTTTATCACGGGAACGGATACGTGGTAACCACCGTTATGCACCCCGGCGACATGTACATCACGAAAAAATGGTCCGAGTGCTCCCGGCGCTACCTACGCTCGTACATCGAGTAAGCTTAATGCTTGTTGCTCTTTCGCTGGCGGCTTTATTAAAGTCTGCCGGCAACAAAGCTGCTTTCCTCATCTACTCCCGCGCGTTTTCTAGAAACGCGAAGAGATACAGGAGTGCCTGATCTACGGCCGTAAATTTCAAATTAAATTAAGAACCGCGCTTCCGGTCGTTGTCTCGTGGAGAACTCGACGGTGATCCGCGATATGAAACACTAAACGATCGCCATAGGTTACTGTTAATATTCAAATATATGTGCTTTGCTTTTCATATTTTATCAGCAAAATTTTTTTTAAAACATGTCAAAAATTCTGAGGAAGAATTAGAGCTGTATAAATTATACTAAAATTCCAAAATAAGACTGAAAAAAGAAAAGATAACCACACAAAAATTAATTTCTTAGAAATACTATATTGTTGGAGTAGATGAGTGATAGCTTGCTTTATATATTGCGATATATTGCAACATATAATGTGCAATATTTATTCGAATTTCAGAAATATGAAATATAGAATAGTCATTGATTTCAGACAAGGTCTCGGGTTCTGCTTAGAAGACGAGCCGCAAGATCATCATTTTCCAGCTGCGGAAATGCTGCCGGGCGTGATGTACAACGGTGACGATCAATGCCGTTTACGGTATCGACCAGATGCTCGACAATGTGACATGGGAATCGTAAGTTGGGCGTAGATCAGAGACGCGACATTGCGGCATAGTAGAAACGTCGCGGCGATCACTTTCTGCCGGTGAAAGTGTAAAGCGCAATCGGCCAGTTTGTTAACGCGATTCTGATAGCTCGTTAACACATCGGTAGCTTGCTCGAATCCACATCGCTCCGTAAACAGGCACCATCTGCCGTTCGCATCTACAAACCGTTGCCTTTGCGGCCTACCTTATCCGTTTAGGAAAATACGTTCTCCAGCCGTGCACGGCGTCAGATAAGAGGCCGGGGAAGTCGCGATATCGCGATCGGCATGCACTTAACTAAGTAAAACGAGGCTCCCGCAGGGATGACTGATCCTCATAGTCATTTAGGCTTGGCGAATCCAAGTTGAATGCACTACGGGCACTCGCATACAGCCATATAGACACATTTATGGGCGATAAACGTTTAAGGAAAAGTGGAAACGAGATGCGATTTAAAAATAATAAGAAGAATAAAAACAAGACTTATACATTTGTTTAATATAGATAAAGCAGAATAATGAAATCTAAAGAGCTCATTCTATATTCACATCTCTTAAGTTAAAAAAAAATAACGAGACGATTTTGCTCCCGTTTTCAGACCTGCGAGACCCTTAGATGTGCCATTCCGGGCAGAGGTTGCGTGACTGACAGGAAACCACCCGCGGAGGGTACCCCGTGTGGCGAAAAGAGAGTAAATTACCGCTTACGAATAAAGAGCGTAAAATAAGGCACGAAGGATGATCTAAGACCCGTAGATCACGAGAATTGTGATAGAACGATTTATAAAAGTAACGATTCTTTGATTTTGGGGCTATTTCTCATGACAGAAACTGTTTTGCAAAATTTTTTAACTTTCTTCTCTACTTAAATAATTCTTTAATTGAAGTGTCCATCAATTTAGTTTGCCCTACACTGTAATTTTAAATTTAAATAGTTTTTTCTCGAGCTTTGACAATTTTATAACAATTTTTAAAACAAGATCCTCAAGTTCAATTCTTCCTTCATTTCAAAGTTAATTAACATTTTATCGATCCATTAAGAATTTATAATAATTAATTATGCAAGTCTTGGTCGATACATTGTTCACCAAAATGTTCGTTCGTGATAATATAACTGATGAATAAGTATTCGCCTTCGAGAGAGCCTTAAAAGCGTAACAGAGCGCAGATTCGAAGAAAAATTACATATTGATCAATTAATCAAGGTCCTCGAAGACCTTTCACCGAGAAGCCATTATGTCGGAACAGCATAAGTATCTCATGAAAGAGATACGACGAGAGTATATAGCAGAAAGCTAAAAAAGCTATCTGGATCCGCCATCAACCGTGACGTGAGTCACGCGCCCTTTCAGAATTAAAACCAGTTTCAGACTTCAGTTGAGTTTCATTGGCCCTTAAGGCAACAAAGCACGGCATGGTTAAAGATTGCGGAGCAGGTATTCGCAGATGCATTCTTACAAAGTATGTCATGCTAACATTGCGCCTAGACACATTGTAAATTCTTTCATAATAATACGTTTGCGAGTTGTAAAAAAAAAAAAGCAATTTTTATATCGTTTCTTACTTTCTTCCGATTTAATAAGCGGAGCTTCTTAGCTTTTATATTTTATTTATATTAGCCTAGAAAGCTGATTATACTTTTAAAGTTAAAAGGTTATTTATCTGAAACTTAATAACAAGTTAAAAAACTTACAAAGCAGTTTACGGACAGTTAATACAAAATCCGTTTCGAGAATAAAAGAATTTATCTTGAATATATCCAAGAAGCTCGTAGAGTTCCAGAAAACGTAAAGGTCGGCTACAAATTTGCTGAACGAATTCGATATATAAAAGAAGTTATATACGGAGAATCAGGCAAACGTATATATATCCCGCATAAAAATTCACGTATCTTGTCAGATAAAACTTGTTTCAAGTCGAGTCACGGATATTTCGGAAATCGAAACGAGGCAAAAGTCGGCTGAAATGTTTTTTGCGGTCGGCCAAGCATGCGCGGCTACGTGATCGTTGCAAAAAGGGATTCGGTAAAACGTGATAGAATGTGGGCGCACGCGAGACCCGTAATGGCCGGGAGACGAGCGATGTCCAAATATCACACATCAGCGAAATATCAGATTTGGGTGACAATGTTAATAACTGGGCGTGCCGAAGCGCGTTGAAGCGCGTAGACGAGAGTCATTAGCGTTGGCTGACTACCGCTTCGGGGTGTCGGACATTACCGTTGAAGCTCGTGAATCTGGCCGGCGAGTAATCTCTAATTGCTCGAGCAAACTTGAACAAAGTCGATACTGGCGCGTGATAAACGGGCCGCGGCATCAGAAACAGACGATAACTCTTACTTTTAATTACAGATCTTATGAACGTGCGAAATGGATGAATGCACTTTGAAACGTGCACAAATATTTTTTCACAAAAATTGAAAATTTTATTGGATATCAGCTATAAATAGTAAAATATGTTTGAGAGATGTGAATAATACCAGTCGAAATCCATGTCTTTTTTAAAGCGCGTTATTCCAATCATGATCCATTCAGATATTTATAGGAAAGGAGAAACGCTTGATATTTCATTTAAATAACTCGACGTAAAAAGAAAAACAAATTCCCGAGCGATGAAATTTAGTGAGTAAAATTGGACGATGTGCGCAGGGGATTGCGAAGTTTAAAAAATTGGAAACAGAAACGATAACATCGACTACGAAAATAGATTGATCTGCCTACGTGCGTAAAAATTCAGTTTGTTTGTCATGTCACTTCACAACAGCCCGATGCAATCATCGGTGGAATGAAATAGACAAATAGATGCGCAATTGCAGTGAAACGGAGAGCAATTATCTCGTCGCTGGCCGAGGGCAGATCTGATGCGTTTGCGTGTTATCGCGGAATCGAGCGTATACTTTAATGCGGACGTTCTAAATGGAAACGCGAGATAGCTAAATTCAAGTAGCCGTTCCAGCAAAATGGTGAGATAGTCCCGAAAATTTTTATAAAATGACGAGCGAAATTGGAGGCATAAAGTGCCATATAAATGTCAGTATATTTCCTCGAATGAGAGATGCATCTACGGATTAATATATTATTTTTGCAACTATATGCAAAGTAGCACGTATCGTTATAAATAATTAATTTTTGAAATAGTTGCGCGATGACGAAGTGAAAGGCGGAAATATTATTCCACCTGGCAGACATTTAAGCGGCTTTAAGTACGCTTAAAACTGGTAGAAGTCATAAAGGGACTCGATAATTATTCCCGTCGTGGAATAGCATTAGCGATTCTAATGGAACAAGACGAAGGTCTCTCGAAGCGCAAGAATATCTTCTTGCAGGACATAATAAATTTCCACGTCGCGCTTCTAAAGGACGTAGTGCATCATTTAGCCTCGTTCATAATGCACCTCCCCGGGACATCCTCCGTGCCTTCTCTCGTTCCCCGTGACATAAGTCAGTCCAGGTGCCGCGACGTCGGAGTGTAACGAATGTTACAGTGGTGCTACCAAATGAAGTGCCTGATGGTGGGAGAACGACCTGGAATCACTAACGGCGGTTGGGGTGCCTGGTCGTCCTGGAGCAGGTGTTCGCGGACATGCGGCTCCGGCGTGGCGTACTCCGTGAGAAAATGCAACCGGCCGTCCCCGTCCAAAGGCGGCTCTTATTGCGTGGGTGACAGGAAGCGCCATAAAATCTGCGCCACGGACGTTAGTTTCGCGAGTGCTCGTAAACAGCTTTCCAGTAAGCGCAGCGCGAACTTACTTGAGTAAACATCCGATTTATGCGACAATCGCATTTTCTGCGAGATAGACATTGAAAACGCTTTTTTATATCGAGAATTTTACGCGACGCACGCGAAAGTGTACAACACTTTGAGCGTTAAATTAAAGAAATAAAATAACAAGGTTTATGATGTCAATAAAGTTCAGGTAAATGAAAATGAAAAGTCTTGAACGCGCTGTGTTGTTGTAAAAGCTGTTGCAGACGGAAAATTATCGTGCACGGTATTAATGCTCGAGTTCTTTACAGCCCTGTGAAATCGGCGCACCGTCGTTTCGTGACGTGCAGTGCGCCGAATTCAACGACTGGGTGTTTCCGGAAGACGGAAAGGTTCATCGTTGGACGGCGTATAATCTGCCCGAAGGTAATAAGCGATAAGCGATAAGCGATCTTCGGCCCCGCGTCGACTTCGTGACTTATCTTCCCTAGACTTGAAGGCGTCCGAAAACCCCTGCGCGCTTTACTGCATAAGCGAAACTAATCTGGTGACCTCGTTGAGACCGAAAGTGGTAGACGGTACCACGTGTTATAGAGGCATCCGAGACATTTGCGTCGGGGGTGTGTGCAGGGAGATACCTTGCGACCTAGATATGGAATCCGCCGCCGTCGAAGACGTCTGCGGTGTCTGTCGAGGCGACAGCACCTCGTGTACTTTGAAGCAAGGAACAGTGTCGATTATGGCCCAAGCCCGTAAGAAAAAACGTAGTATTGATATTATAATAAAAAAAATACATATAAATGCAAATATAAAGATTTTATTTTGCCTAGTTTTTCGAAAACATAATACACCATTCCACTTTTGCCAAGATTTCCAAAGTCGAAGGTCTTTGCCAAGCATTAAAGTGAATTTCTACATTATTAAAAATACTTCTACAATATTTAAAAAATGATGGCTGAATATTGTATTAGCGCCTTCAGACATTCAGTCTCTCTCTCTCTTTCTGTCAACCACTCCTTTGAATTCCTCATAATAATTTTCTTGGCGTTCTCGCTTACTTCTCCACGTCGAGCGAATTTCGCGACTTGACAAAAATGCCGATGAACTTCAATGTCGCTACAGCACGATGAATGGGAAGTGCGCGAACGAGAACTTCCGTGAATTAAAATTCCGCCAGAGCAGAAGTATAAGGCGCGCGTTCAGTCTTGCTCTTTAAGAGGAATCCCGAGCGCTACATTGAGAATATTTATGTGTGTATAAGTGTGTGTGTGTGTGTGTGTGTGTGTGTGTGAGAGAGAGAGAGAGAGAGAGAGAGAGAAACTTGTGACAGCCAAATAAATCCGCACTACGCAACACAACGCGATGCTGAAATTGAAATTTCGACGAATAATATCGCGCGTGGTAGCTTTTTGTAATAATCCTCCGCGCGAATTTTCGCGTTAAGGACTCAAGAAGATAACAGATGTGCCGGCCGGTGCCAGAAATATTCGCGTCGAGGAGGCAGAACCGACCAAATCCAGGATCGTGGTGCGCACCAGAAGTACGAAAACCGTGTTGATCGATGGGTAAAGTGAAATTTTCTCTTTCATTTCTGTAACGCACATGCACGTAATAATCTCGAGAAAACTGATCGAATGTTGCGAGTTAACGTCTCTAATTCGGTGCTCTTCTTCAACCTGCACTTCATCAATCTTGTCACGTTTATGACATATCACGCAAATAACGATACCAATCTTACTCCATAATTAACAACGCGGTGTGATTATTTCAGTAACCGTCTAGGAATGTTCAATGTGCCGGGTTCTAAGGCGTGGCTGGGAATGATAAGGCCGAGGCAGGAAGCTTTGAACATACCGGGACCCGTCACTGAGGACTTGATTATATTGGTAAACATAATGAACGCACTCCGCTAATTAGTCGCTACTCTCGGCAAATCGATAACGTATCTCAAACAAGGTGTTCGAACTTGGACATGTGCTATCGGCAAGAACGCGCAAGAAGAAACGTTTTTCAGAACATTTCGTGTTCAATTAAAATCGTAGTACTGCTATAATAATCAGTTGCTATAATCTTCAAAGGAAGCGGTTTCGAATCGAGTTCTTTTTTCAGATATAATTTCCAACTCCTGCCGACGCGACGCGAATAAAATTTGCAACGTTTTACGAAACGGCTAAAAATTAAATTTTTATTTCTGAAGACGTATCTTAAATACAGTGCACATTTTCCCGCTTTTATATCGGAGTAATTACCGTGTTATTTTAGAAACTGCATTAAAGAGAAATTTAATTTTATCCTATCGCAGTATTCTCTTTGACAGCTAATTAATCTGGCAGGTTCTAGCAAAGGAGAACGTCACATTGAAATACTCATTAGGATTGAAGCAGCGTACTCCCCGCAAACCTGAGTTCTCCTGGGACTTCATTGACTGGGAGAAATGCTCGGCAGGTTGCGGTCCGGGAGAACAGATATCGAAACCCCGTTGCATCGAGAAAATCGGTGGATTGGTGGACGATAAATTTTGCAGGAACATCAGTAAACCAGACGCAAAAGTCAGACCATGCAATCAAGCTCCCTGCATACCGCGGCAAGTTTACTGCTATATTTACAATTTTTCACACTTGAAATATTTTAAAGTTATCAGAACATATAAGAAAAAAATAATTATAATGATCTTTAACGAGGCTTGATATGGTGGATACGAAATCAATTACGTGTCAAAGGATTTACGCCGCCCTCATTATTTCCATAGGCAGTATAATAATAACGTTTGCACATATACATCGCTCTCATATCGTCATTGTATTGCGTCCATATCACGTCCACGCGTCGGACGGAATTGTCACTTTTATCTTGAGAAAACGAATGGACATGACACCGCGCGATAATCGCCGTCGCCCCACCGTCGCTGACTAATTAAAAGCCTCGCTCTTATCTTCGCGCGCGATTCCAGGTGGATCATTGGCGAATGGCAAGGCTGCACACCATGCACGCCAGGCTGCAAGCGAAGGCGCGCTGTCAAATGTGTACGACCCGTCGGCCGTGGCGAGCAGGATCTCGATGTGGTCGAGGACAGCTACTGCCAAGGACCGAAGCCAAGGGAGTCGGCGCCTTGCGAAGCCAGCCGGCGAAGACGAGAGGACAGAGGTGCCGCCGACGACAAACGCGAGATCTCCTCTGTTCGCTCGAGCGCGCTAACGCGACAAAACGACTTCATTAGAGCTGCTCGAGCGACCGTTAAGACGGCTTTAAGCGGCGCCGTCGCGGAGGACCGACATCCAGGTGATTTCTCTACACGAGCGTCCAATCGTTCTTGTTCGATCGGCACCGGGTACGTTAATGCGCTTCCAAGCGAGACAATGAGCTTAATTTCAGCGGACGCGATTCGAAATTCGACCAAGACTCGTCGAGATCGTTCTCAGATAGATAAAAAATCGAGAAATGCACCGAACGATACGGAAAAGATAAATGCGAATAAAATTAAGAAGGGCGAGATAGTGATCGATAAAGAGGACATTCAGAACCTAACGCTCACGATTATTCTGGAGCGCGATGAAAAGAACGTCGTAACGAATTTCCCAAAGGATTTCGAGCCGCGACCGTCGGAGAATAGCACGGAATTTACCTTGGTCGGTATGGATGCTCTCAGATACATACAGAGAATTCAGGAAGAAGCGCGCGCCTCTTCCGAGATCTCGATTTTTCGCGAACGACGTGCATGCAATACGCGATGAAATAGACCGATGGCGCAAATGATGGCGCGAGGAGAAATTCGAGCGCTCCTCGGCGCGGTGAAAGAGAAAAGAATTTATTATCATACGTGAACGCATCGATTACTCTCGCGCGAAGTGTATGCTCTTTCGGAACGGCGAATCCGCGGCGCAAACGAGTGGAGACGACGCGCGTCTGAAAGACGAATCTGCGTCGATTCGAAGAGACGAATTATGCGATCTATCAAAGAGACTTTTACGAGTCGTTGAATAGTACGATGCTGCACGATACTGCGCTGCTCTCGGAGCGTGTAACGCGCGCGGCGCGTGCAGATCGCCGATGCTTCGAAGCGATAAAAACAATCGTTACGTTATACGACCGAATTATACGTATTGCGCGCGTTTTTATACAGGCGTATCGAATTTTAACGATCGGACAGAGCAGAAAACTCGGCTCGGATTGTCGGGAGTCCGTGAGTCGCAAGATGAATCGGCCCGATTAAATCAGCGACGTTGTTTAAGTCCGGCTAACACGGCCATAATTGACGATAAAGCGGCAATAGATCTGCCGGAGCCCGAAGATAATCTCTCAATATGCGGCGGTATATATGCGGCAACGGGCGACATAAATTACGCTTGAACGACGCGAGGAGGATGATTTCCCGCGACCCACTAACGAGTCCCGCCGTTGAACATTGATCTTTCAGATTCGTCGTTCGCTATGTTATTTATGGCGGGAGCGATACTTTGTAATGATCCGAGATTGCAGACGTTCGCCTCCCCCTTAATGGCCCGTGTCCTGAGGGGGTATCACAGGGAAATGCCTAGCGCGCGACATTTTCTTGTACCAATAAAAATTAAATGCTAAAAAAAAACGCGCGCGAGTCATTAATCTTGAGTTCGTATTTGTTCTACGTAACAAGGTTCCGTAACACGAACGTCTGTTTGTCTGTCTAGCGAGCATCGCGGACAAGCGTCATATCGATGGACGTTATTTTCTGTTCCGCCGCACGCGGCACTTTTCGTATTACCTATACGTTTTATTTGACTTGACGGCCTTCATCCCGTCAAGCTAATCAATCACGTGCGACATGAATCAGCAAAGAGCAGGTCTTGTAACGGAGTATGTAATAGCTAGCTTTTCGATCCATATCTGAGTATTCATATATTTCTGAAACTTATACACGGACGATAACTATATACGGCTAACGTACATTTATCGCAACATTTAATTTTTTTTTCTTTTGCTCAACGTCTTTTTTCCGCGGTATCGATGGATTGAGACGGATCGAGAGCCTCGTTCTCGGCAATGGAAACAGCGCGCGGACCCGCTGTCAGATTATGATGGGCCAACTGTTCGATAAGTTTGACCGCCTGAGCGCCTCTGTACACCTTCGCCTGGCTCGTATCGATGCCGACGCCGACGCGATCACCGGCTTCCTGAAACGCCTTGTCCGACAGATTCGACTGAAGGGACTCGTCCATGTACGGTGCCTGCATCAGCACAACATTCCCGATGGGTATCGAATCCTTGATGATGGAGCCCGGTTTCAACGTAGTAAATCTCTCCTCCGCGTCGCAGGTGCGCTTACGCTTGTCCTCGTTTGTCATCGCCCAGTCGCGAAGGACCTGCCGGAAGTCTCGGGCGGCGCTCGTCCCTTCGAGCTCGTCGCCGTCGCGCAACTTGTCGCGGGTCCTTTCCAAGTAACGGACCAGACCGAGGTCGACAAATCTGTCAATCATTCTCCGTCGATCGTCTGGCGATAAGTCCGCTCTCTCTCTCACATTCATGCGCTCCTGCTCGTCGGATCGTCGAGTTTTCTTAGGACACATCGTTCTGCAGGGTCTTGTACCTGAAACGAATGCAATATGAGCGTTTTCTCGACAGAATTTATCGCAAATCTTGAATTTTTACTTGAAAAATACTACAAACGCGCGCAAGGCCACGATTGTACCTATACACTCTTCTTTCTGCCTCGGCACGCGACCTTTACACGCGTCCAGATTTGCCTGCACATCGTCCTCCCCAGGTCTGGCACCTGGCCTCACGCATTGAACCTTGCGGTGTCTCATACCCTTCTTCCCGTCGCAGGCACTGCATTTACTCCACTGACTCACTCTCCATCTACACGCGCGACCGGCGACGGACATGGATTTATTTACTTTACATCAGATTCGTCGAGCGGACGCTAATGTGCGCGCAAAACGCTAGATCGATGTTTATGCGATGCTGAGTTAACATCTTATTTATCGGCGAACGTATGCGGGCATAGGTGCGTAGTACTACGTCATCGTTAAAGAAGGAACTAAGATCGATGGAGCGGAAGCCAATAGCGCTCAGAGATTTTTATCTCAACGTCGTAAGTATTATTTGAACTGTTGTTGTTGGACGGGAACAGTGATAAGTTATATTTTCTTCTACTAGGAAAAATTTTTTTGTTACTACGTATTGCTACGCGATCTAGCTGTTGGAAATAAAAAAGCATCGATGCAAAAAAATATCGAATTTTATATTACGCTATAAGAATTGCGTATTTATATTATTTCTCTATAAAACAGGTTTGACTACTTTATTAAATTTCTGTTTAAAAATGCTACTTTGCACCGCCCAATGAATTATCTTACCACGTGAAATTACGACGCATTGTCTACATCTACGCGGAACTTACGGACTGTCTGGAGCTACGCGGCTTACTTTGCGGGACAAGGGGCCTGATTGCAAATGCGGCTCTTCGCTTCCGGACGCGGTATACCGTCGCAGAAGTTGGGCGTCACTCGTCCACCCTGTTCCTCGATGCAGGACGGCTCGGATACCTGCGCAAATCGATGACACGTCCTTCGCATAAAAGCGGTCGCATTCGCGGTTGCATTAGGCACCCGCGTGCGCGTGTAACGTTGTCACATAAATTACCATCGTGCCACCGTCGCACTTAGCGTTGCATTCTGACCACTCGACGAAGTCCCACATATACTTGGGCGTGTACGATGCATTCGTCGATCTCACGTAGTATTTATAATCTATTCCAGGGTTGTCTTGGGGATTGAAGAACACGTACTAAAAGGGTATAAACAAAAATCATATAATGAACTTTTAACATTTTCTAGCATTTTATAGATATAATAATGCAGTATACACTAAAAATTACAAAACTTTAATTAAATTATCCAAAAACAGATTAACATTTTTAATCTATAATTTTGAAAATTATATAGACTTATTTTATCGTCAATTCACAGCAATTAAAAGAATAAAATATTCGTAACGATTTTGCGAAAAGATAATTTGCTATAAATAAATTTGTTATCATACAAAAATTTACTGCGAATAAAAGATACATTCGCGATATTAGATTTTTATACGATAGAGTTTATATATATCGCGCAAATAGATAGAGTTTGTATTATCGCACCGATAATTACGTCGTACGATATCATCGAGATAATCGTTGGAAAATGAACATAGTTTACTTGTATCTCGATATCTTCGGATATCGGACCTTTCATTTCCACTACTTCCTTGTCCGGCTCCGGATGCGTGTAGATAATCATCGTTCCAGCACACTCGTAATCTCCGCTCTTAAACTCGCGGCTGTGCGAACGACAACGTCATAAAAGTATATACCGTAAAAAAATACGTTGCACGCTTTATCATCGTTACGAAAAGCATCTGCGCGTATCAATTTTCTCGGGACGTTTATGTGCGCTATGGGCGTTATAAATTAAAGACAGAAAAGAGAACAGAAAAGAGGAGAGCGAGAGTCGCGCAAGAGTTTGCAGAAGCTCACTTGTCTCCATTGATGCAGTATGTTTTATCTTTTTCGAGTTTCACGGCCAGCATGTTCTCGCTGGGTTTTCTCTCGGAAACCAGCACATTTCGAGCTCCCCTCGGAATTGTCACGATCTTCACATACGCTGCGAAGAGAGAGAGGAACGATGTATCACGGATAAAGGAACTGTGCGATTTCATTTGACAAGTCGTGAGCACAATCTACTGAATTTTTACCGCTTTGCGACACTGTTTCAGTAAACTTGCCCTCCACCGGGCTGCATTTGGTCCCATCGCCCTTACATACGCCGCATTTATCTTCGATCGCGTCCGAGTCTATCACCCAATCGCATCCAACTTTCTACAGTGCGAAAAACATGTGTCACTATATTTAACATGATAAAAATCATAAATGCCACAAAAATAAAAATCTCTCACAAAGTAAAATAATTTAAAAGATATTTTATTTGTAAAAGAAAAACGAAAGACCATTTTTTGTAATAAAATATGTTAGTGCAACTGTAAATTTTATTGCCATTTGTTGTTTCTTTTATGTCAAGGTTTTGGTAATTTCAGTTATACTACATGTAATTCCAGTAAATTTTCCGTTAATTAACGGTAGATAGTTAAAGCCAGCTACGAACAAAGTAATTACAAACCCGTATATAAGAACTCTGTTACTAAATTTAATTTTGCTATCTCGCTAGAATAACACAAAAAGTGTCATAGACGCGCTGGTATTTAACGTTTTTAATTATTTCGAATGTATTAATTTAATTATGTGCATGCATTTATGCTTTATCACAAACATATAATAAGTGCCTCGAACATAGCGGAGCACAATTTCCGTTAGAGAATTTTGAACCTTTGAATCATCTTTAAAAAAAAAAATCGATAAAATTCGAAGATGTAAAAAATCTAGAAAAATGATCATAAATTTGAGAATTTTTAAAATTTATAACACTTGCAAATTATGCATATATCAATATAGATATTTTGTAAAACTTTTATATCTTTTATATATGTATGTATATTCAGTTTGTTGTTTTATCTCTCACGTAGATATGAGAAATATTGGGAAGTTCAATGTTTTAACTAATGAATTTCACTGGATCAATATGGCAATCCTAGCGCGGATAGTAGAAATTTCTGGACAAGACGTGATTCTATTCAAAAAAGTTACAATTTCACACCCTGCACGTTCCGGAGATGCACATGTAGTTGGTCCCGGCCTTGCAGGGTGTCGAATCGTTCGCCG